ATAATTTTTTTTTTTTATACGTCCAGAGGACCGGACTTAACTCTGATTTTTCTACCTGGATTATTGTGTCTCAGGACACTGAGGTTAGCAAGCTAATGTTTAGTGTAGACTATTGCCTTGCAAAACTTTTTCCAGAACAATAAATCTAATGTTGAGGTAAAATATATCTCAGTGTTAGTTAATGTTATCTTTGTCGTCCTCAATGAAATGCATTTTGTCTGAAATCTTTACTTCTCTGCAAAGAAAAACAAAAAGAAAACACCACTGCGCTCATTAGACCACTGACTGTTAAAACAATGATGTGTGTTTCTTTGTTTAATTTATATTTATGTTGATAACTTTATGGTGAATAGTGAAGGATAGAAAATGTGAACGCTCTTTAGGAAGACCGTTTCAAGATTTCAAGTGTAAAAACAGGTTTAAAAGGAGCTGTTTTAGATTCTTGGAGACGGACAAAGCTCAGTATTGGTTATCAGCATTAACCTTCCCCTCCTAATATTAGTCGGGCTCTAGTTTATATACATTTATCATATTAAAAACACGTTACCTAATAATGTATTTATTTTACCACAAAATATCCAACTTTCCCCACAATCCAAAAACTTAAACAGTGAAAGAGTTGTGTTGGTTTTAATCAGGACGGATGAACAACCTCTATGGAATGGCACCGTTTGTGTTCTTGTTTGTGTGTGTTGGGCCATGAGTGACCTAAAGATTATGAGTTAGTGATAAGTGATTAACTTTTCTTGGTTTACACAGCTTTTAAGACAAAATAGACATTTCAGTTTGTTTTTAATCTAGATCACGTTAGCTGGTGGTGGCAACTCGGTTGTTTTTAAGAAATACATAATATCATAACAGCATATGTAGATGTAAATTATGACCAAACGTGATAAAATTCTACGCAAATGTTAAATTAACTTAGTATGTACACATTCTATTTTATTTATTTATTTATTATTTTTGCTGGTCCCTTCTGACAGAGATTTCAATACAATGAACTGGTACATAAAATTAAATTTGAACAAAACAATTAAAAAGCAGAACAGAAAGAGAAAGTTAAATTAGTTCACATTAGTTCACAAAGAAAAACCTGTAGCTGTTGGTTCTTGGAAAACTGAAATAATCAAACCAGGTCCTCTTTATTTACCATTTACTTCCTGTGTCCAAATATGGCCCGACCATACAACAGGAAGTGCACCAGTCACACCATGACGACTCGAGGAAGAATTCCTCTCAGACTAATGCAACCATACAGCTTAATACTGAGACTTTTCAAAATGAAAGCTGTAACATCTGCAGTTCCTGTGCAAAACGACTGAACCGGAAACTGAATTTTAGAGAAGTAAAGGTGCGAAGGTATAAATGGCACCACAGTTTGTTTCTCTAAATAGACTCTACTTTCCTTCCTCCCCGCTCCTAAAACAAGTTGAGAATGAGAACATTTCCTGTAAACTGCAGGTTTGTATGGAAACAGCTGAAAACTGAGGTGGTAGGCCACTTTAACAGAAACTTGTCTCTACTATAAAAAGAATTGGTTTTAGAACAACACCACTAACCCACGAGGTGTAATTTATTTATCACCAAGCCCTGGAAAAAAAAAAAGACAATATGAAATGAGAGTCCAGTTTATCTTACAGATTCCTAAAATGAGAGGTACCTGAATGTAGCACGGATTAAAAGTATAAAAACCAAATAATTAAAACAAAAAGTTGGTCGATTAAATAAAAATATAAACAGATAGTGCCATTAAACAACATATTTATTAATTTTTTCATTCAACCTTAATTTAAACAGGTTATTCATTATAAAACTGGTAATTGGAAGTTTAAGTGGTTTTTTTTTTTTAAACATGATGCAATCAGCTCAAACATTTGGAGGTACTAATGTCTAACTTGTTACTCTACCTTTAAATTATTGACATGAACTATTAAAAAATCGCATTCCTTGAAATAAATCTACCGGTATATCCCTTCATGGTGACAGGCAGTTATGACTAAATTAAATTCAGAAGGTAAATGTAAATTTAGTCAGAAACAGTACAAACTATTACTAACTAACCACAAAACTACAACTCCCCCACTCCTTTATATGTGTTCAACATAATGGTACTTCCTCCAGTTATTTAACAGTCAACAATGGTGTACCACAAGGCTCAGTCTTAGGATCCACTCTCTTTACAATCTACATACATAATGTAGGTAAAAACATCCCTGATGCATCCATACATTTCTATGCTGACGACACAGTTGTTTATTGTCGAGCTAAAACTGTTGCTAAGGCTTTCCAGCTTTTGAAATCTGCATTCAACATCATCCAGACTGATTTGTTTCACCTCAAACTTGTCCTAAATGCCGAAAAAACCAAAGGGATGCTTTTTTCAAATAGGAAGTTGGTCCCAGCAGTTCTTCCTCCGATTTTATCCTCAAATGGTGTCCCCATTGAGTTTGTTGATTCCTATAAATATTTGGGTATCTTGGTCGACTCACATCTCTCTTTTAAGCTCCATGTGGAAAACTTGGTAAAGAAACTGAAAGTTAAACTGGGTTTCTTTTTCAGAAACAGATCCTGTCTAACACTGAATGCTACAAAACACCTTGTATCTGTGACTTTCCTTCCCTCCATTCATTACAGTGACATTATTTACATGAACGCTCCTACAAGAACCCTGCAGATGTTGGATGCTGTCTATCATGGTGCACTAAGATTCATAACTGGCTGTGATTATCGTACCCACCACTGCACCCTGTATTCACTGGTTAATTCTGGATGTTGCATGTCTGCAAGATGGCGGCGCCAGTGTGTTCGGCTTGCCTCTCCCTGCATACTTTGTTTTTGTGTTGTTTTTTGCTTTTATAACTAGTGTCGACTCTCTGCTGGTGTATAATCGCCAAACGCTTTTTAATCTTCGACCCGATATTAACAACTTGGCTCCGTTTGTGAATGACAGCCAGAAAACTTTTTTCCCTCCATTTCTGTCGGACGTGCCGGCCTACCTGTGCCGCGCCCCAGCTCCACCAGCGCGCAGAGCGCGCAGACGCCGCGGGAGACGCAGCGGCCAGCTGGTCAGACTGAAAGCTCAGCTGGCGTCCTCCCTATCCGCTCTCTCTGAGTTTGGAGCTGCATCTAATTGTTTTATCTCATGGCGCTCCCTGGATCTCATCAGCTCTTCTCTGGCTCCTGTTGTTGGCCTGGGTGAGGGACAACCTGCGCGATGCCTCCCCCCTCCCCCCCCCCCTCGTCCGAGTGCGCGGAGTGAACCACCACAACCTGCTCGATCTGGCTCCTGCGTCGGATCACACCCCGGCTGCTGTTGGCCTGGGTGGGGGGCCGCTGCTGCGCGGCCTCTCCTTTCCTCTCCTCCGCGTCCGCGGAGTGAACCACCACAACCTGCGGCTGCTGGAAAGAGCTCCTCGGATGGATGACGTCACCCTGGCTCCATCTCATGTTCACATGGCTCTGGTTAATGCTAGATCTTTAACAAACAAGACCTTTATTCTGAAGGACTTCTTCACCTCCCGTGGTCTGGATTTTTTATTCATTACTGAAACATGGATAACTGCCGGTGAGTCCAGTGCTTTTTGTGAACTCCTGCCACCAAACTGTGCATACTTCAGCTCTCCAAGGACGACGGGTCGTGGAGGAGGAATAGCGACTGTTTACAGGAAGAGCTATTTCTGTAAACAAATCACACCTTTAACATGTTATTCCAGCTTTGAGTTCAACTTGTTTGAGCTCGGATCTTCACAACCCGTACTGTGTGCTGTTTTATACAGACCTCCAAAATACAATAAGGACTTTCTGACAGACTTTGCAGATTTTTTGGCTGGAGTCTTGCCTAAATATGACAGGATCTTGATAGTCGGAGATTTCAACATCGCCGTGTGCTGTGCTGATAAACCGTTGGTCAAAGAGTTTTTACAGCTGATAGACTCTTTTAATTTGCTTCAGTTTGTGTCTGATCCAACACAAGAATGTGGCCACACCTTAGACCTTGTGTTAGCTCACGGTTTTAATGTTTCTAATGTGGAAGTTTGTGATGCTGCCTTTTCAGACCACATGCCTGTTGTGTTTGACATGCCACTCGTCTGTCGCTCAGTCAAACCTCGCGCTCCTGCACAGCCCCGTCGGGTCATTAACTCCTCCACTGCTTCTCAGTTCTCTGCAGCTTTTAGTTCTGCCATCAGCCCCACAGACCCTGTGGGTCTTCATTCAGATATCGATGCTCTCTCATCTAATTTTAACTCAGCCTGTCAAAACGTTTTAGATGCTGTGGCTCCATTAAAAACAAGAGCTTCCAGACCAAAGCCTGACCCCTGGGCTGATGAGGTCACACGATCTGCCAGACGCCAGTGCAGGAGAGCAGAGCGGAAGTGGAAGAAGGACAAACTACAGGTGTCTTTCCAAGCTCTGAGGGACAGCTGGCGCTTCTATCAGTCCACTGTTAGAGCTGCAAAAAACAAATATTTCTCTGACATCATCTCCTCCAACTCCAGCAATCCACGTGTGCTTTTTAAAACAATCACCTCTGTTCTTAACGCCCCACAATCAGCCAGCCCAGAGAACTCCACTGAAATGTGTGACAACTTCCTGAGCTTTTTTATCAATAAGGTTTCAAGCATTAGAGCTCTCATAAGCCCTCCTTCTTACGACCCCTCCGTCTCCGTCACACGCTCTGCTGTCTTCAGTCAGTTTGAGCTCGTCACCCTGTCTTCCTTAACTGACATCACTGGTCGTATGAAACCTGCTGGATCCCCAAATGATCCCATCCCACCTCGTCTTTTTAAAGAGGTTTTTCACACCGTGGCTCCTCATGTGTCCCAAATTATAAATGACAGCTTGGCATGTGGACAGGTACCAGCGAGCTTTAAACATGCAGTTGTGACACCACTGATTAAAAAACCTAGCCTAGACCCCACAGTAATGTCCAACTTTAGACCCATCTCAAAACTGCCCTTCATGTCTAAGATCTTGGAGAAAATTGTTTACAATCAGTTAACATCATACTTAAACGACCACAACCTTCTTGAACAGTTTCAATCTGGCTTTAAAACTCACCACAGCACTGAGTCTGCGCTGCTGAAAGTCTTCAACGACATTCTTTTAGCCACAGACTCTGGTGACTGTGTAGTTTTAATGTTGTTGGACTTGACTGCTGCCTTCGACACAGTAGACCATCACATCCTCCTGTCTCGTCTGGAGAACTGGGTGGGCATTCAGGGTCCTGCTCTACAGTGGTTCAGATCCTATCTGACAGAGAGAAACTTCTGCGTGCGCATTGGTGCTGTGGAGTCCTCTGTAGCCCCTCTCACTTGTGGAGTACCTCAGGGTTCTATACTTGGCCCTCTTCTGTTTTCCCTGTATCTACTCCCTCTGGGACATCTTCTCCGGAAACATGGCATTTCTTTTCATTTTTATGCTGATGACAGCCAAATCTATGTTCCGTTAAAACAGGGCAAACACCATTCCTTGAAACAACTCCTGGGGTGTATGGCAGAAGTCAGAGCATGGATGTCACTAAACTTTTTACATTTTAATGACAAAAAGACAGAGGTCTTGTTGTTTAAGCCTAGTGAAGGCTCCAATATCCATGCTGATCTGGGTCCTTTAACAGAACATCTGACTGAGACAGCAACTAACCTGGGCGTGAGGCTGGACAGTGACTTCAAACTTGACACGCAGATTAAATCAGTGATCAAGTCCAGCTTCTTTCATTTGAGACAACTGGCCAAGGTCAAACCATTTCTGTCACAACATCATTTTCAGATCTTAATCCATGCTTTCATCACAACTCGCCTGGATTACTGTAATTCTCTTTATGTCGGTCTGAGCCAGTCATTACTGACTCGACTTCAGCTGGTTCAGAACGCAGCTGCCCGCCTTTTAACTGGTACCAAAAAACGAGAACACATCACCCCTGTTTTAGAATCACTACATTGGCTCCCGGTTCGCTTCAGGATTAATTTTAAGGTTCTTTTATTTGTTTTCAAATGTCTTCATGGTCTCGCCCCACAGTATCTGTCCGACCTGCTCCAGCTGTACACTCCTTCTCGCTCTCTCAGGTCAGCAGATCAGCTGCTGCTGGTCGTCCCAAGGTCCAACAGGAGACTGAGAGGTGACCGAGCGTTCTCAGTCGCTGCCCCTAAACTGTGGAACGAGCTGCCTCTGCATGTCAGACAAGCTGGCTCACTTCCTGTTTTTAAGTCTTCTCTGAAGACACATCTTTTCTCTTTGGCTTTTACTTCAGTTTGAAATGTTGGTTTTAATGACTCTAAGTTATTTGTTTTATTTTATTTGTTATCTTTATTTTATTTCACATTTTTAACGTGTGGGGTTTTTATGTTTTTGTATGTCCTAGTGTACAGCACTTTGGCCAACAGTGTTGTTTTAAAGTGCTCTATAAATAAAGTTGTATTGTATTGTTAACTGGACATCATTAACTTCATGCAGACTCTCTCACTGGTACATTTTCATCTTTAAATCACTTCTTGGTCTGCTGCCTTCATACATCTCCTCCTACATGTCTCTGCGTGAGTGCAGCTACAGCGTGCGCTCTCAGGACATTATTACCTGCAGTGTTCCCTCAATGAGGACTGAGCTAGGCAAAAGGACCTTCTCCTACTCTGCTCCTGTTTCCTGGAATATCTTACAAAAAGATTTGAAGCTCTCAACCTTGACCTCTCTAAGTGTCTTTAAGAATCTGTTGGACACCTGGCAGGGTCCAATGCTGACATGTTCCTGTTGTTAGTTTTCTACATTTGTCTTGGAATCTAGCTGTTTTTTGTTTTGTTACCTTTTCCTTTTAGCCATCCTATTTGTTAAAAAAAACAGTAGTATGACTTTTTATAATTGTTTATTGTTGTTGCTGTTGTCCATTGTTGTCATCTTTCTTTGTTGAAATCAGGTCTCTCTTGTAAATGAGTCCTCGAGGCTCAATGGGATTTACCTGTATAAATAAAGGTTGATTGATTGATATGTGACCATTTAAAAATGCCAACCAATCACAAATTAATATTATCACTTCATTTGCTGAATTTGTTGCAGATTTGTCTGAAGCATTCCTACGTGAGTACGCTTCACAGACGTGTCTGTTTGGACGGTAGCTGTACGTAGGTGAGATGACAAGACATGTCAGAAATGCAGTCAATAAATTTACTGGAAAGCCACGTCTATATCGTCAAATTGTCAACATTTAAAAAATAATTATTACCTTTAGAACACAAACGGGGCCTTCGCGAGGGCGAGCTGGCCGGTGTAAATAAGTTGAACCTATGCAATGTATTGACTCAAGACAACCAGCAGGGGGGGCTGTAGCCGATTAAACTGTACTTTTAGATGCAGTAAAGAAGACAAAACTAGTTTTCCAACCGCTAATAATATCACAAGAAGAAGATTGAGAAGGTGAAGAAGACACTTCGATAAGGTAACATGCCAAAATGAAGAGCTTGGCTTAACAAAAACAAGAGCAAAGGTAGCACAAGCAAGTGTTATGTATATCACATGGCTGATACTGAATATATGTCACCAGCTCTTACAGCTGTTACACAACTTTTGTAGCAAATAAGCCTAAATAAGAGGAATTTGTTCTGACAAAGGAACGTATATAAAATATCGGTATCGGCATTGGTTATCGGACGAATAAGTTTTAACATATCGGCATATCAGATATCGGCCAAAAATCCAACATCATGCATCACTAGGTTCTACCCTTTCCACAGAACCCCACTTGAAAAGTGGGTCGTTGGGTTAACTGAAGTCCAGCACTGTTGGTAAATGTTCAGTTTTTAGGTTAAATCAGTGGTTCTCAAATGGTTTCTTGCTTCAGAACCACAAAATGATACTAAGGCTTGTGACTCCAGCCACTGCAATTTCAAATACTGTATATAAAATTTGCTAATAGTTTTCTTAAAATGGCGTGACAACAAGGCGGTCTTTGGTGTTTCGGGTGCCAAAGGCAGCCATTATTAAATTCAAGTTGACATCTGGAGATACTCCAAGGAACTCTCCACTTGATGTTTTATGACACAAGGTGGGGTCCACACCACAATTTTAAGGACCACTGGGCCAGATAAAGCTTTGGTGAGGTCACAGACTCCTATTATTATGAATTTATGAACATAAAAACCTAATAATTAACTTCAACAGCCCTAAATGGCCTTTACACTTCAATAACAAATATTCCCAATCAATCATTTCATGTCTTGCTGTTTATACAGCCTCTCCTCCACGTCTCCCAAACATCGGCGTTTGGATACTGTGATGGTGCACTTGGTCTTACGTGATATTACATCATATTCAGCCTCTACAACCAAAAGGTTTGTGTCATTACAATATGAACGCCTTGTGTCATTGCATCCAGTGAAGTGTAGGTGTTGCTCCTCAGCCATGCTCGACTGACGTAACTTCTATTTTTGGACAAGTTTCACATCTGCTTTAAAATAAGGAAAGGCTGTTAAATTAAGCGTGAGGGACACAATTAACTGACACTAACTTCTGACTTTCCATAAAACACAATATAACAATTCAGGAGAGGGATGTTAGCAAAATTCCCAAAGAGATTAAAGCACAAGAAATAGAAACACCTAACCATTTGAGTACCCTAATGTAAAGGTTTTGAAACGTTTCAACTTATGACAACAGACACTTGGGGTCACAATTATCTGGTGCAAGAACCATAGTCTGGCTCAGTAAATAAGGAACACAAGCACCATTAGACCATTATTTTTATTGGCTTATAGCACAGTGTAGTAAACTAGGCCTCCGACCAAAACCTGCCTCTGAGGACCTTCATGTGACAGGAACTGTTATTTCATTGATTTGAATCCAGAAATACAAATTAGCTCATCCAGAGACTTTCTAATTGTATCCTGAAGTAATCAATTGAAAGAACACTCTTATTTTATATTATCATTACTATCTTACAATATCTTGATAAATCAAAAGTGTGTTTAGTTCATACCATTTCTAAATGTTGAAGTGAACCACTCTTTTTAAATCAACTGTGAAACAGTATTAATGATTTTTTAATCCTCATTTAAATTAGAAATCCAGTTAAATGTCTATTTTACAAAGTGATTATGCATTTTGATCTTGTGTCTGAATGAGAGAGTAGTGATGTCGGTCGAAAGTCAGAAAGAAGTTATTAGAACGAAGTGTCGTGTTTTTAAACCTAGCAGACGGTAAACAAGAAGCTTCTGGCACCTGCTTCCTCCATCTGGATGAGCTAATTTGCATTTCTGGATTCAAATCAATGAAATAACAGTTCCTGTCCCATGAAGGTCCTCAGAGGCAGGTTTTGGTCGGAGGCCGAGTTCACTACAACAGCTTTACTTCTAGCAACAGTTGTATGAGGAACAAAATACAAATAAGACCATTTTAAAATAAATTTTCATTGTGATGACCCTAAACTTAATGTCCTCCATCTTTAGGAACAACTGCTGCAATGTGCAGACCATGCTGACTGAAAAACATCATCCTGTAGCTTTATTAAAACCAACGCCGATGGATGTAAATCTCCTGAAGTTTTCTAGATTCATCGGATGAGAAGAACCACTACATTCTAGATATCCAGCAGCAGATGAACCCAAAAACCAAACAGGATATTCTTTCATAGCGTAGAACTGAACCTCAAACCAAAGAGTCTTGAAGGAACCAAACTATGGAAGAAGATGCTTAAGAGACCGAAGGATCTAAGCAAACTTACATGAACTCTCGTTCCCAACACATGCTGGTGGTCGGTCTGGAGCTCCGAGCAAAAGACTTCTTGTTCCTCAACGAAGGAGCAGGCATGCCGGCGGACATGACAACAGCAACACGGTGCGGTGTACAACCATACTTTATAAAACCGTGAGAAAAAAAATGACTGGATCACCGAGTCCAGAACAGAACAATCGCTAGATGTGGACTAAAGATGGAAGAATCTAAAGATCAATGGCAGCCAGACGCTCAGATGTGTCAGTTAGGAAGTCAGTTGATGCTCTGAACCCCTTGAGACACCACCAGAAGTTTCCTGAATGAGAGAGCAGGCCTCTGATTGGTCGAGCAGCACTGGAGTGTTCCTTCCTGCTTCCTCAGAGACGGAGCCTGATTGGTCGGTAGATTCACAGACTACAAAAACATGTCCTTCACATGCTCGGACACCACAGGAAGAGGCCAGGGGAATTTCCATCTGTGACTGGAACAATGCAGAGACCACAATACCATCACACGTATATTACTAAAATTGAAATGAAGAGGCTGCAGGTAAACTTGTCACGGTAGTTTGTAAAAGTGCACACAATAAAACTAAACCTTCCTGTTCTCACATTAAACTTTGGTCTAAATGAGCTCAATGGAAGTAAAACACTCTGAAGTGGTGGTAACCCTAACCTAGAATATTGTAAAACTTCTCAGAATGTCTTAGAAAGCTTATAAACTTTCAACAGTTTGATAAAATTTGTTCTAGAGCAGGGCTATGATCGGGGGTTACTAAAAGCCAAGAGCTCAGGGGCCACACATCCAGCACTTATTGTCATTAAGTTGGTTTGTTTTATGGTTTAAAATCTAGTTTTATTCAAAAATGAACCCACTGGTGGGCCGAACTGAGCCCATCCGTGGAACTGATTTGGCCCTCGGGCCGCCACTTGAATAGTCCTGTTCTAGAGCAATCTCTGAAGAGACTATAAGCATTAAATAAACTTTACTGCAAAGACCAAACCTGCTTAAAT